GGGGGGGGAGACTCACGCCACACCCTCAACCTGTTCATACACATCCCATAATTCCAAGAGAGGCCACCAGAGCGCTTTAAAACTCTTCAATGTCTTAACAGGTAATCATGACTGGCAATGATTCAACTGGCATCCGTTTTTAGTTTCTATGTTTGCAAAAAGAAATGGAATGAAAGTGAATAAAATGACAGGCAACTCAACTTAAAAAGTGGCGTTTATTTCATGAAGATGAAGCTTAAATAATATCAACTTAAAGAATAAATTACAAATTAATTCAGAGACATTCTTCCTTCAACAAAAATCAAAATGATAACATGGCTTCACAACAACAGGCAGTGTTTCCTACATTGAAATGAAATACCGCATCTGCTGATGTCACACATAAAAAAAAAGACGAATGAATCAGTGAAATCAGCTGAAGTACCGGTCGGCTCGGATGAAAACACGACTCCTCCACCGGCTCAAATGTGTAACAGACCAAACTGAATCTCACGACCAACGCAAACGTTTGTGAGTGATCCACCGCTTTGGTGTCATTTGCCGTCCGTCCCTGTCGCTCAGAGCCAAAGAACAGAAACTAAACCGGGACTGACGACAGCTTCGGTATCAGCCGTCTCACACAAACATCTCTGCAACCAAAGACAAAGACATCCGCCACCAAATCAGACCCAAAGCAGAGAAATACCAACACCCCTGTAGTGCAAAGAACTTGGTGCAAAATGACAGCAGAAGCAGAATAACTAATAAAAAGATATAACATGTTAGTTATCTGACATCTACAGACTACAAAGACTCTGTAAACCTAACAAGACGTTTACTTGAAATGATTCGAAGAGTTAACTAATCCTGAAGCCCTCGGTTAACTGTTATCAAGCAGTCATTAATATCTGGACAAACACAATGCACTCTTTTATCCAGCAGATCAAATAATAACCCGTCAGCAGCTTAGTGAGCTGTAACTTGGCTCATTCAAGGAGAAGGCATTGAATTACTGCATCTCTTAGCTTAATGTTGCTCTTGCTTTTGTCCTCCACTGCTCTCAACACAACAATCTGCATCACTCATCTCTTCCATTTCTCCACTTGCACTCTTGCTCTCTTTTTCGGTCCCTTTCCTACTCTTCCGGCCTCCGGCTTCTCTCCTAGCCTTGCGTGTTTTCCTCCCCCTCCAGGTAGTCTGCGTTATGTGGGCTGGCTCTTGTCGGCTTTCCTCCTCAGAATCCATCTTGCTTTTTCCGTTACTCTCCCCACTTCTAGCCTCCTCTCCTTTGCTCCTCCCTCTGGAGAAAACAGCAAACAGCTGACGAGGATTTAACAATTTCATTAGCGTAAATTTGTCCTCGTTTTCTGCACCAGATATTTCTCCTTCAGCTGCGTCCATTTGGCCTTTGTCTGAAATGTCCTCTCTGCTGCCTTTCACTTTGTCCTCCGATCCAGCTTCTTTCTCCCAAAATCGTTTTTTAGACTCCTTCTCTTTCCGTTCCTCCATCTCTCTTTTGGAGAAACCCTTACTCACTAACCCTGATAAAAGTGCTTTCCTCTCTTGTCCTGCTTCATCTAGACTCTCCATGCTGCTGCATGTTTCGCTGTAACTGCCTCTTCTGTCTGTGGGAAGAACCTTTAATAAGTTGACTTTTTTGCTGTTTGCATGACCATCTCCCCTTTCCTTACTCTTTTCCCTCTCTTTGCTATACTCCTCCCCATTTCCTCCTCCTCCATCACCCTTCATCTCTTCCTCCCTCTCTGACTCTGTCTCCTGCTCTTCCTCGTTGCTTTTACTCGTGGAGAAAGCTTTCACCAATCTTCCAGGAGCGAAAGCTTGAAATATTCCCCCCAGTCCCTGTCTCTCTGCTGCTGCATCACCCCTTTCCTCTTGCACCCTACTCTTCGCCCCTGGATCGACACCTTGCTCTAAGCCTCCCTCCCCTCCCTCCCCCTCCCTCCTGTCTTTGGAGAGGGCCCTCGCCAGCCTACGAGGTTTGGAGATCTTCCAGTCTCTCCAGGTAAGTGGAACGGAGCGGGGCCGGGGGGCTCTTGAGCCGCCCAGGCCTGCCGTCAGCAGAGAGGGCTCACCTTCGCAGCGCTGGCACTTGTTCAGCTGGAAGGGGAAGATGATGTCTTTGTCGTTGCTGCAGAACTCGCACACGAAGCCCTTTGCCTGACACAGCTGGGGGTCGATCGGAGCAACCGTGACAGAGAGAGCAGACATTTGATTAAGTCGGGCATCTCTTTGTTATTTGATGACATTATAACAGTTGTAAAAAATAAACTGGATTAGCTCTCCACGTTAGAGGAGAAGTTACATGGGGGTCTTACCACACAGCCAGCTACGTGCATGGTACCAAGTTTAAGCAGCTCTTTCATTCGGGGAGCCAGGTCCCCGTTACGCACAGCGGCGAGGTCACTGAGGGAGAAGAGATGAAGGTCATCGGTCAGGTGACCTGGCAGGCTGTCGAACTGGTCCAGCACCCTGAGGGACACACACACACACACACACACACACACACACACACAATGATGTCCGTCTTTGCAGAGAGAATAAATATGTTTTGAAATTTTTTCAGGCAGACGACTTACTCTTTAGCAAAGCGACAGGTCTTGAAGAGATTTTTCATGTGAAACAGCTGCACTCTCAAAACCTAAACAAAAACAACTTGTTACTTAAACATGCACGGACAGAAACACACCGTTTAATACATGGTGGAAGGAGCGGGAAGGCCAGGTTCAGTTTACAATAACAGCATCTGTGTTGACCAAGTGTTTAATAATCAGCTGCCTGAGGTGAGGAAGCATCACATTTCTCCTCCCTCTCTATTTCCCAGTAGGTATAAACTGCATTGACACGTTAATAAACAACTCTGTGCTATTTTATCTCTTCATGAATAGGTTTGAATGTGTATTCTTGCTCTTTTAGCCCAGTCCTGCTGAATGAAGCACATAACGATTTCAGTATCACCGACTTACTGTTTGAGGTCGAGGACATAAATGGCTCTATTCATGCTCTGTGCTCACCCTGACTGCCTCCAGAGCTTTGACCTTCTTGTACAGGCCACTGTTGATGTCATTGGGGTTGAATAGCGGGTCTCCGGCGATCTTGCTCAGCAGGTCCCGGGCAAAGTTGCTGACATAGTACTTGCTGAAGTCCCACTTCCTCAGCACTCGCCCGGGAACCACCGCCTGGGCGTTCTCATGGCAGCACTGGCAGAAGTAACGGCCGAGGTATTCACAGTAACGCAGTCGCTTGATGTAATCTGAAGCGTGGACGGACAGCAGAGACACAAGTGGGTAGAGGTAAGAATATGGAATGATACTGTGTCTGCATAGCATTTCTATATATAAAGGAAACCACCATAGCGAAATATCAAATTTTAGGCCAGCTGATCACATTGGAAAACAAGTGATAAAGGTGCACTTGTGAAATAAAATCAAAAACAAGAACTGAAGCCGTAAATATATATGTATTGTTATGATATGTTTGTTTAATAAAAACATGTCCAAATGCATGTTAAAGCTTACATGCCTTGCAACATTTCCAAGGACAACAAGTGTTTACCTGGGTCGATACGGGTCCCACAGCCAGCGCAGCGGTAGTTCTGTTTAGCCACAACTATCTTCCTCCTGACACGGAAAGAAAACGTGTAAGTAATATGAATTCTGCAGGTGTCATGACAACAACAAAATGAATGAACAACAAAATAAAAAGAATAAATTGATAAAGACAGGTAAAACCCGGTGAGGACTCACTTGGGGGCGGAGTGAATGTTGAAGATGATCTGCGGTCGGGGCGGCGCCCACTCCAGGTTACCTCGAACCCGAATCCTCAGCTTGTAGATGTCTGCGTGTTCACCATCATCGGGCGAGATCGGCAGAGAGTCGGGGATGGGCAGCAGCTAGGAGAGAGCGAGCAAAGTATTTTCAGTTATAGTCATTATTGCCGTGTTGTGCGACATGTGTGGAGATATAAAAGCATTGTGTTGTACCTTCTGTGGAGCGTCGTGTTCTGGGACCAGCCAGTCGAGCTCAGAGGCCGCAGGAAGCTGCATGCCCTCAAATTGCCTGAGTAAACCCATGGCTACCGACTCAGCCGAGTTAGACTGGAGGAAGGACGGAGAGCTGAAAATACACAAAAAAGGACAGAATATATTTGTATGTTGTAATACATCGGTTTTCAAATTTGTCGCTATTCCACAGACATGACATAAAATCCCCACTAAGCCACCAATTTGTAATTTTGTAACTAAATTTGCTTCAACAGTTTTCAATTAATAGGATTGTGAAAAATGATTATTCTGCATTATCAAGAGGAAGAAGGGAAATAGGAAGTGTGTAACTTACATAGATTCTGAGCTGAGGAAAGACCTGCTGCTGGAGCTTACGCTGCGCTTAATGTCTGCATCTGGAAGACAATAAGACAACAGTCAAATAAAAGAGATTTGACCACTTAGGAGCAGTTTAACATAGATTTGTAGAATTGGAAATAACGGTCAGATGATGGCTGAATTTGCCTGGAGTTGTTAATTTCTCGCCATGGCACTATTTGCCACTGCTGAGCAGTGTTTAATGTTTTGAAAATGAATAATTTAAGAGAGATGCGATTAGACACACAAAAATAAGATGCGGAAAGTAAAAAGTCCTTAAAAACATCACATCTCTGATGAAATTCAAGCATGTTTTAAAAGGTAATTTAGCAGGTAGCATGCAGCAAAGCCATGTTGCTATATATACACACACACAAACAACGCGGAAGCAACGACATTAAGCACAGCGGCTTTGGAAGAACAAAAATGTGCCTGCATGGATTCTTGTGTGGCTAATTTCTATCAGAAGAGTGCTCACTAAATCAAATATTAAGATAATTATGACCAATGCTCTCCATGTCAATATTGTGCTTCCAGAGGATGTTCACACACACGAGAACATTTTTAAGAGAAATGGTGAATAATGTGGTTCTGACAAACCAAACAGGTAGAGCTTGTTTTCATGGAAATGTGTGGTTTTCTATTAACTACACTTTTAAGACGCGTCATAGGATACATACAATGACGGCGTATTTTCTGTTACAGTACTAATCAAAGTGTGTTTTCATCTCATCAGTACTCAAATACAATCACACACATGGATCCTGATTAGGTTTAAGGATTCTGGTTGTACTCTGGGTGAGATGATTTTGGTTACGGGATGCAGTTAAGTATAAATCATTGAGATTATTTGGATTGAAACAATCTAATACAAACAGAAGAATGTAGCACTTAATGCCGACCAGGAAAACATTACATTGTGAACCAATTAATATCAGGCTGACTTCAAACTTTAAAAAAAACGAACAACATGGTGGAAGGATGTGAATGCGACAGAAAACGATCACACCTCATATTCACCGGAGTCGGATTGGACCTCATGAATAATGGGATGGATGGATGAATGAGTGAATAATCCCTGTAGTTACAGATGCCACAGAATGCCAATTGTTCACTCCCTCGTCTCCTCCCATGAGCCTCCCTTAACAGGTACAGGCACATTTGTCTACCAAAGCCCTGGAGCACTGAACAACAAGCACTAACACATAGAGCCAAGCACATTATTCGGCAGAGGTGAGGAGGCAGCTGGCTCGACTCCAAAATGAGGACAGTTTCACTTCCAACTTTCAAAATCGGAAGAATAGAGCAACTGAACACTCCTTTTGTTCATTACCAACACGAAATGTAAAGTTGGCAGACATTATCTTTCGTCATAACGCCTTTGTGAAAACAGTTAAGTACATTTTAGGATTTGTACTGCATGACCTTAAGCCAGAGTACATACAGTCGTGCAGAACCAAACCTGAAAGCGGTGCGTTCATGGATTTACTAAAAAAAAGAATGATGTATATCCATCTCATCAGTATGCTGAGAAAAAGTCATTTTTAGGTTAATTCCTTAAGTGTCTTTAACTTACTGAAGGTTGTGTTCATTGAGATATTTGAACATACTCAATCAGTATGGTCAAAATAAGAAGATGAGAAGTGTAAATGGTTAAAGTGCCCTCCAGTTTAACAGGAAGGATTGAATTGTCAGTTTGGAGTGGAGCCATCAGCTTCCTCCCAGAGGAGCCCCCCCCCCCCCCGGCCACAGTAAACGGTCTGTATTGTAGCTGTGGAGCCTCGCCCCAACCGTCCAGCCTGCAGATACCTGAGAATAGGGAGGCGAGTGACAGGGAGAGGCCGTTCTGAGACACCGCCAGCAGGGACTGACCCTCACAGCCATCTGAGAGACAGAAACTAACACTCAGCACGACTGTCACCACAAGCACAAACATTTACTTCTTTTAAAAACACCCCACAGTAGATGTGGAAGTCATGCAGTAACACAGCTCCACCATACAGCACACTTTGTATGCTCAAACCACAGCGCTGAGAGATGCAGTCAAACAATACATGAAGTACGTGCACGTATGAAATCCCACAACCCGGGTTAACGGCATCGAAGCGATACGTGCTCTGGTCTTCCTGAATGTTAGCGATTACCATTTGTCACACAAAACAGGAACTTAAATCTAATCAATTTATTGAGAGGAAGATGTTGAGGCGTGGTGAACACTGACTGGAATACGCCGGAAGCTTTTACAGACCAAACGCACCATAAGATCATGACTCACATGACCGTAATGTCTGTAAAAATAGTAACACTAAGAAAACATTTTACAGACCACCAGTCTGTGACTTTTGCACTCAGACTTCCATGTTTATGGTCCATGTGACATGCTGGGTTAGCAACATGAAGCAAGTGTGGTGATTAGGTTATGAATTATGACTAGAACAGAAAGTCATCCAAGCAGACAAATGATGAATTATTCAGAGTCTTAGAACACATTTAAATTAACATTAACATTGCTTAAAAGTAAAAAGATGCTGAACGGACAATCATAAGCCTGGATGGAAGGAGTTTGTTCACACTGATTACAACAAAAACAAAGACCGTTAAGTCTTTCCTGGTGTTCCCCCGTTCCCTCTCTCTACCTCGTAGTTCGCACTCCTCCACCTCCTCAGCTGAGCCGGAGTCAGAAAGGCCCTGGTAGGAGTCCTGAGAGCTCCTCCTGGAGCCCCCGCTGTCAGTGGAGTGCAAAACTGCAGGAGAGGAAGCAGACAAGAGATTAAACAAGAGGGATACAGAAATAAAGGCCAGAAATCACATCTGTAGCAAATGACACCGTCATGCAGTGAGAACACCACTGAGCCCAGGATGAGCCAGATGAAGAGGAATATATGGAAATATCAAACAAATCTCATTGTATTCACTGAAACAAATAAACCTGAGCGGATGTAAACGTCGCATTATGAAATCTGTGATAATAACAATAAAAAATAAGTTTGTAGCTTTACATTAAAATATACAGTATGAAGTTAACCTGCATTGTTCCAAACACAATAAATTGTACATTTTGTTCAAGATGTATTTACGTAATTGCAGCCAATCTTGTTAGGTCCACCCACACAACAATGATTTTGTTAATAACTTCCAATATGATTACGAATGGACCAGCTGGCTCTTTCATTAGGTTAGAGCGCAACATTTCTGTGGCCTGATAAACCTTAAATCAGTACGAGTGAGATGGATTGCAGCTGTGATTGTCCCAATGTTAAAAATGACCTGAACAGACACTGGGATCCTGGCGTCAGGGTTGAAATCTTTGTTGTGGCACTTTTTGAATTATGTTCAAAAAACTTTTGTTTTGCTTGATCTACATAATAATATGATGTAGGATTTTTTTTAATCAGTGTAGCTGTCAGCACATGTACGACAAACTGAAATCAAAGCAAGCCTGGCGCCATCAAGTCCAAGTTAGGAGCTAGTTAGTTTCCAAAGTGGTAGTAATTTCTGTTTATGTTAAGACATAGTTAAAACATTCATTTGACGAATCAATTTGAGGAAGTAGCGCTTGAGGAAGAACTACTTCCTCAAATTGATTTCTTCCTCTTGAGGATTATTAAAGAACAAAGTGTATTTGTAACAAAGAAGCAACAAACGTAGCATTTTCAACTAAAGTCTCGTAACTAAAAGCACGTTCGCCATTAAGAGACCGTGAAATGGTAGATGATCAACTGAGGATTTGTAAGTCAATGAAAAAAGTTGTGAAGAAAAGACCGTGTGTCCATTGTGTGATTAAACTGCTCCTCGCTCCTCATGTTGCCTTACTGTGCTGGGCGTTTGCGCAGGGCGGCACGCGGCTGCGTCGGATCAGCTGCCTGCGCAGGCGGATCTTCTGTTTGAGCTGCTGAATCTCACAGTCGCTGTCTCCCTCCTCCTCGCCCTCCTCCTGACGCCGCAGGTTGTACTTCATCAGCTCGATGGCGGCAATAAGGGACTCGGAAATGCTGAAATGAGCATTTTCCTACAGAGCAAAGGGAAAATGATGAATCCATCAGAGGAGATGAGACTTTTCCGACATGCAACATAATAAGTTCAACACTGCACTGTATCACAGATTTGGCAACATTTTAGCACCGAGTTGCTGCATTTGTAAAAGTGTATATAATCAAAGTTCAGATTGGTGATTGACTAACTGATTGATCAATCAGCACCAACACTAGTCAGAGTTCATCATGTGTTAAAATGGACCCCAACCTTCTCAAGATCAGCACAGCTGCCAAAGTCCTGCTCCGACAGGTAGCTGATGAGGCTCTGACCCTCCGACGGCTGCCTGAACATCCCATCGGGAACACTGTTGTGCTGGGTCCCGTCTGAAGAGACCAAAACATGTACACGGAAGATACATCAATACACAAAACAGAAAGGACACATTGTGTTTCCTGCACTTGAGTGTGTGTTTCTGTTGGATTCTTAATGTAATCTGCTAAAGCTTTCAAAATGTCTCAAAAGCACCTGGTAGAAACTAAAGAAAATAAAAAAGCTCTAAGCTTGCCAAAAGCCAACTGCATGCTGTCAGAGTATTTTATTGTCTTACAGTATTATCTACACCATAAAATCCCAATAACACACACACACACACACACACACACACCCCTTTCTATGACCTTCCTGCTCAGGTCCAGAGTGTCACATTTGTGGACCAGATGACTCACTTGCTACATTCAGAAACATGTCATGTCAGCTTTCCTCTTCAACTTCCTTCCCTATTTAAGTTTGCTGTGAACTTTCTCTGGCTCAAATCTTCCTTAAAAAAAAAATAATAATCTCTACCAATCACAGGATAAGAGCAAATCCCTTTTCTACTATCGCGCTCATTTTTAAGTGCAACAGAACTGTAAAGGCAGAAGACTCACGAGACTCCATGTAGAGGGAACCGGGCGAGCCGACATCTTTGCACTGAGGTGAGAACGGGCTGTAGCTCTTTACACAGCAGTCGTCCTCTGCTGATTCTGAGAGACAAACACAACATGTTAAGTGACTTTTTTCACCCGAATGCGAGAGTCACTAAAATAAAACACAGAATTCTTTGAGATTGATGGGAACATGCGTCAACATTTGTAGATTAAAAGTCGTTTTTCTGTCAAGCAATCGGTAAAATCTATGGAGAGGGCTCACTTTATTGCATGCAGAAACAAAAACATGACTGCTGACCTTTGACAGTGTAATGACTTGAATATGGTATGTACAGATTCACAAAAAATGATTATTTACATATACAAGGAAAAAGAAAAAAAGAAAATTCAAAATGACAAATATATATATATTTATATAAAAAACTGATACTTTAACACAACACTGATCGGTTATGACAAATGTGTGCATGGACATAAACACAACAGTGAAAGGAGTCATTCATGGCCTCTTCACATCAATTTGACCATCAAAGACAAAAAGCACGTATTAGGAGCTGAAGGCAAGACTTGAAATGAGCGGGATGGGAAGAGCTCCTCAGCATGCAGAGTAAAAGGAAAGAGGGGTATAGTGATGGAGCACAGTGGAACTGCACTGCCAACCTGCTACCGGATCTTCTATTATTATGGTGATTTTTCGGGGGCCCCCTCCTTCGCACAAACAGTAAAAGAGAGAGAGAGAGAGAGAAATAGAGCAGAAGGAGAGAAAGTTACCTCAAGCCAATGGGAAACGGTGAGCAACGAGAATAGCGATGTTAATTCGGAAACGTTTAGAACCCTCAGACAGGAAGTGTGCACATTCTGAGAAAACATGCGGCCTCGCCATATCTTACAGAGCTGAGAATACAGCAAATAGAGCATTCAGGTACACCCACATCTGAATCTCACATACGCTTTGTGCAAACATTGAGCAAAAAAAAGGAATTGTTAATCAGATGTGTTTCCATCACCTGCAGGAAACTGAAACCTCACTTTATAATATTAGGGTTGTGCCGGTAGAAGAAGATCTCAGGGATCGATGATGCCTTGTTTTCCAATTAATGTATTACAGGACAAATGGAGGGCTTCTAATTCAATACAACATAACTAACACACTAACAGATGGAAGGTAGCCCAGCTATTGTCACATTACGTTTTCTTACCCTTCCTGAGTTGCTGATTGACCCCCGTGTCAGAAAACGAGCGGGTGTGTCCTCTGGGCGCCCGGCCCAGCCCCCTCTGGCCCTCTGAGAACGACGAGCGCCTGGGTGGGGGCGGAACTAGGGCACTCCGTTGCAGGGACTGGCCCTGGGTGACGCCCTGCTCGCTGCTGTGGGTGGAGCTTTGGGAGTCACAGCGGCTGCTGCGCTGCCCCAGGTTACCAATGGCTAGGTACTCCGGACCGTCGTCATAGTCGCCCTCACCAGAGTCCCCGGCCTCAGGCTGGAGGGAGGTGGACGAGGGGGCCTCTGTGAGCGAGATACAAGGGGCCGAGGCGGGGCCAAGAGGGGGCGTCACACCACGCTCACTCTGCCCCCGCCTGGACACGCACACCCAGGGAGCTCCCAGGCTGCTGGCTGGAGAGGTAGTGTCTGCAACAGAGCAGGTAGATAATGTGAGATGGAGCCAGACACCGTGTCACAGGCTTACAGATTGATTAAAACCAATAAAAGTAACCATTATATTAAAACACTAATTAGAAAAAAGATTTTAGTGAGCACAGCCAGTTTAGGACAGAGATTTTGAGGCTATACCAACACATTTTTGAATAACTGACAAACAATCAGGCCTCTGTGTGTCTAAGTCAGTCCGTCTATTCACATACAAACTGTAGTGCATTCATAGTGCCATTCCCCAATCACCCTGTATACAGTATATACCGATTGCAGAATAGTGACCTTATATTTCATTTGCTTCACTCAATATTCAACTCCAAAATCCTTCTCTTAGATCGAGACCGATGCAAGAAGTCTCTTCATAGACGACACCCTTTGCTGAGATCTGACCAGAAATTTCACACATTAAAAGCATAACATGAACAAATCCACAAACCCCTTTACAAAAAAATAACTCCACTTGTCACTCTTTCCTCACTTGTGCTGTTGCTGTTTTGGGATCTGACTCCCGTAGTGTTCCCAGAGTTGTGGCTGGTGGCGACTGCTTCTCTGAGGGAGCAGTTGGAGGTGGTGAGTCTGCGATTCAGAGATTCTCCTCTGGGAGCCGAGTCAGCCTTCATCCAAACACCACCGGCCCCAGGCAACACACACAGGCTCTGGCTCTTCAACAGGCCCAGACATGGTGGGCCCTTCAGAGGGGACAGCTGGAGGGTGAAAAGGAAGCGATACAAAATAAACAGGAAGCCAAAACAGGTAGTGTAAAATAACACCACCCATCAAAGACCGATAATGAGAGTGTGAAGCACCATCACTTTTTCTTATGTTATAAAATAAAAAACAGATGATGGACAAAAGATGAACAACAAACTGAAAATGGATGAGTTAAATGCAGCAAAGTGGACTTTTATCGAAGTGATTTCACAAGACCCACCCCGAAAGTGTCTACTTGGGCCAGCAGTTTGGGGTTATTCTGCTCCACGGCTTCCAGACACTGGAACATGGCGGTCACATGGGGCTCGCTCAGCAGAAAGGCATCATCTGAAAGGTAGAGACAGAGGGACGGAAAAAAGGGGGGAGAAATAAAGAGCGGTAAGGAGATAAGATAATGACAGAGATCATTTATTAGTGAAGTGAAGACAAAAAAAGAAAAGTGAAAGAGAGGAAGTCGCACAGAAGAACAGGAACAGAAATTAACAGAATTAATTTTAGCTGCTTCATACTTTAGTTTACACTTCACACCAATGTCGTCTATATTAAACTGGACCATCCATTTGACCCTTGCAACTCACCATTAAAGTACTTTCGTGTATGCCCCAGATGCCGGAGCAGAGGTCGCAGCTGAGCCGACAGCAAGTGAACCTGTAAGCTGTGAAGGAGCCAGCGCTCAGCCTTGTAGCTCTCACCAGCACTCTGCATGCCGCTACTCAGCACCGGCTCCAGGTGACTGAACTGTGGACAGAGACAGAGGGAGAGGAGAGAGAGAAATGTGAAACAGGAGCATATTGTGAGGGGGGGGGGAGGTAGAGTGATATGACAATCACTATTTCACTGAATATAAGAAAAGCTTTTTTTAATTGTTTAGAACAACCAGTATCATGGGATCTCATACTATTTACACCAAACATAATGCTGTTTGTTTACTGCCCAGTTTGAATGATACTCCATCTATTTACTGTTGCACACTTGACAGAGGGGACTGTTCTCCACAACAACAAAGAACATGCAATCCAGGAAATGTAGTGACTCTGCTGAAGGCGTCTGACTGTGTGAACTGTCAGGTATTTACTTTCCATGAAACTAAAAACTTGGCAGTCAGGCGGGCTCTCAAATTCACCACCTACTGGCACTGTACAAAAGCTACACAATGTACCAGCTGAATGAGGGTCAGTTTCCTGCTACAGTGGCAGGTGGAGCAAACAAACAAAATAACATAACAGTGAATACAATGCACAGGCACATCATTTGTTGTGTGTGAATATCAATTACAGAACTGAGAATACCAGCCCTTTCTTGCAGCAAAATGTGGAACCTGAAAAGTTCATTATCTTAAAACCAAATCTTTCTGGGAACATAATGAAAACTGTACTGCGAGGTAAGTTCACAGTCTCCAAATAAATACCAGCGTACATGTTGCTGCCGGGATTCATACCTGTTCAACGTGCGAGGCGAGGTGAGGGCTGATGTAGCGAACACACCACACAAACGGCCAGTAGTCTCTCTGCTTGTAGTACACCTGCAACACAAAACCAGCGTGGCCGCATTACAGCTTGGATAAACACAAGATGCCATTATGGAGGGAGTGATAGTGAACCGTTCTTCCCTGTATTCCAGGAAGTGAACCGATAAGGACCGGTAATAGTTGTGCAATGATGTAAATACTTGCTGAAAAAAGGTAAAGAAAATGGTAAAGCATGTGATAAAACCTACAACATCCATTCCTGACAAGCGGTGGGTGAGTGAGAAACTTACTCTCTGATGAATAGAAGGGTTACATTTACTGGTGGTAGTGTAACTTAAGTTTGAATTACTTCCTTATCTCTGTTGTCAGTGGCATTTGTCGGCAGCTTCTATCAGAGTGTATCACATGGGTAATATGGAAATATTGAGCACACTGGTACTGCAGTTTGTTGTCTGATGGTGTGGTATTGTGAGGTTATGGGTCACACCTTGAAACAATTGCTCCTCCATGTTCAAACACAAGCCTCTATTGCAGATTTTCAGGCCAAAGCTAAATTTCAGAGCTAATCTGTCAGAGCTGGCTGGAAGTGATCGTTAATCTGTTCACAACAAATATAAACAAAATGGGAGAGTGGCATCGGTCAGACCTCCGGAGTTCTGACCTGCTCATTCTTCAGCCCATGGCTCAGGATGTTGTTCATGTCCTTGTGAAGCCGCTGCAAGCCGCCATAACGGGACCACACGTTGGGATTGTTGGTGGACACGAGACCCTCCACCGTGGTCTTCAGGCTGGACAGTAGCTTCCAGTGCTCTTTCCTGGAAGAGAAACAGGGCAAGCAGGAAGGAGTGAGACAGGGTGAAGGAGGAAGTTTAGGAATGAGGAAGGAGGTAAAGAAGTGCTGGTGTTAGCAGTGCTGTGGCCTAAATCATCACTCACATGAACAAAAATACTTTTCCCAAAACTAAAATGTGAGTCTTCAGTAGTTTAATTATGATAACTTGGTGACTAAGGGTGCTGGCCATGAATGAATGTAATAACAATATCACCACATCCTAGCCAAATAGATAGATAAGACAGACAAAAATCATATTATAAACAAACAGTAAATATGCATTCCCTCCCTATCAACAAAATGTTTACAAAAATCCAGGCCTTAAGTTAAAAACATATCAGGTCACATTCCCTAAGAGCCATAAACACTGGCTCATGTCCAGGACATCCTCTTTTTTCCCCTTCAGTCAGCAGTCTAACTCGTCACATAACTGCAGCTGCAGGACAAATACATCTGCTGTCTGAAGACACTAACACTTGAGGGCGTTCTTTGAGTAGAGGATAATTTAACATTTAATCTTCTACTTATATATTACACTATACTTTAGTTACTGGTGGATGCTTGAATGCATTTTGTGCAAGATTGATTTAGGCGTACGCAGTCATGAAGCCTCACTGACTAACCCACAATTTTGGATCATCTTATTTTCTTTCTTTAAAGAAAAAACTCATTACCATCAACATCAGGCAGAGAGGTGCTTGCAGAAGCTGTTGACAAGTCAAAGGCTATAAAACCTATGAATAGCACATTTATGAACACAGTAAGAGCAGCAGTGCTGACCAGCAGCAGCATCACGAGTTCAGCTACCGAGCTAACTAATCAAATCACATCATGTAACATAGAAAGAGGAAGGCTGATAGTTAGGGAACATTCTCCACATACTGAAGAACATTGTGTATTTATGCAACAAGAGTGTGTGTGTGTGTCTATGCTTGCCTGCACTGCCTATAGAAGACAGCGAGCATCCCGCATTGCACTCTACAGCCATCAAAGGACTCATAACTCAAGCTCTACTTGAAAACCCTCAAGACTTGTTTATACCTTCAATTCTTAAACAAACAAAGGTGATCTAGAAGTTGTCACGGCCCTGTTCTTTATCATCCGTGTACCTATAATGCCCTAACAAGGCAGGAATGTCTCTACTACTGAAAGTATAAATGTGCATTGTTTAGACTGAAAGGTCAGTTTAGTGTATATTGCACACTCGAAAGAAATCCAGTAATCGTGCTGTCAAGGAATGCGAATAATGTGTTGTTTATGTCAACTTGTGTAAAAAAAAAAAAAAATACATGTTTGCGTCATTTGCGCACTTGGCAGAAAAAGAGGGAAGTTGTGCAGCTTTTCCTGTTAAACAAACTCTTCCAGTAATCGTGCGTTCACAGAATGTGGAGAATGTATTATTCATGTCAGCTTGTTTAAAAAAATTATAAAAAACAAGCATGTAGCTAAATTTGCCAACATTTCATACACAAAATATTGCTTTTTAATTTTCAGTGTGTTCATATATTGCACAATACCACAAGCGACTATCGTTAGCTTCTGTCAAACTTAATTTGACAGCTAGCGTTAGCTGTAACCACAACCTATAGCTTGGCGATAGCTAACGTTTAGCACAGTTAACAACAAGCTCTTAGCGGTTAGCTAACATGTGCAAACAAATTTCTCAAAATGCAACCAAACTTCCAGTAGTAAGTCAATCAGTTGATCAAGCATGTTGACCAGCCTCGCAGTTAGCTCGTGCTGTTTGCTCCAAGTTGTCCAGCTCTGACATGTCAGGTTAGCCTAGCTTAGCCGCTAGCACTCCAGCTTCAGTAACTTAACTATCCACCAGTGAACTAGCTAGCTACTTAGCTATCCAACATGGTAACAGTGGTTTAGTTCATGACTGGCCGACATTGGTGAATTGGCAACTTGGTGGCTAGTGGTACAGTTTCTAGTTTTGTCATTTATATAACCACGGTCACTGTTAGCACAGCTAGCCGAGTAACCAGCCCAGCCCAGCCCAGGCTATCACTCACCGGCGCTCCTCCGCCTCTCCCTCCGCCGATATCTCCATGTCATCCGGAAGGAATCGAGTCCCGTAAAAAGCCGCCAGCTTTTCCCGATTACTCCCAATATCTTCCTTCGTACAACAGATGTCCCCGCAGTAGTAGTAGGGTGGCTTTAGGTAATCACACGGACTTCCAGTCCTACGCCATCTCTGCCCCGCCTGTCCGAGCTGTGAATCAAAACAGTGAAGGCCGCATGACCCGCTATCATCAGCAAGTGGGCGGTGATGTCCTCTGCTCTGCCCACTTTTTAACGATAATCATGCTTTTACTCTACAAGTTCATTTTCCTCCGTTGTTTTTGGGCGGTGTGCCAACGGGTTACCACTGCGTCTGCAGGACTTTCAATATGTAAACATACGGATTAAACCCTCTGAAGTGGCTGGTAGAAGAGAAGAGCTTTCTAGAAACACATGGCTGCTCAACGGAGTTAACCTGTCATCACCGCCACCTGCTGTACGTTAACGCAACTGACTGCTGCCCCCTGTTTGAACTCACACGTATAACATAATAATGGTTAATTGATTACCTCTAGACGGGGTTAGAGTCCCGCGTCCAATTGTCCGGGTTAGAGTCCCGAGGCGGGGTTGGAGTCCCACGCTAAATAAGACCTCAGGGAGGCCGGGTTAGTGTTTCAATGACTGTTTTTATTGTTTCAATGTATGTTCTTAATTGTTTTTTAAATCTCTTTTGCCTTATGTTTTGATGCTTTTTATGGTTTTATGTGAAGCACTTTGAATTACCTTGTTGTTGAAATGTGCTATACAAATAAACTTGCCTTGCCTTGCCTTGCCTTGCCTTACATGCATTCTCTCGTCCCCTTCTGTTCACAGGCTGTATATTTAACATTGTCATTACAAACTCATGATGTTCAGCAAAACATTTGAAGAGATCCCAAAGTTTCCAAATATGTCTTCAATAATTTAGAAGACAGGGGTATAACATTATCCTAAAATACAAGAAGCCTTTACTGACCCCCAGAGGTGGAAATTCAGACAGACATAACTACAGATAAATAGAGAAAGTAAACGAGTTGTAGCCTATAAAGGAAAAAAGAAACTGTACAAAAGCAATTAAAAACAAAACTAGCAGAGTCAGCTCATTTAGTATATGTAAACACTGTATACCAAACTAATATATAATATGATATGATTAAGTAATGATATTTAGTGTTTGTCTATGTTAAAAAAGAACATTGTCACAAACATTGTGTGACTTCAGTGAAGAGCTGGAACAAGACGATCCACCACATATATGTTATACCGTCATATCGAGAATAAAATCATTTTCCAAACTTAAACACTACTAGGAGAAATACTGTCAGGCAAAGAGTAGGGGATTATCATTTACCAAAACTTCAAATTAAATCAATGCAACTTTAGGTTGACTTTGTGGACATACACTTGATATAAAGTAGCCTCCAAAAAGTAAAGTAAAGTGCAGGTGTTACTACATTAATGATGGCTGTGTTAGATTCAGACGCCAGTCAGCAGTGGTAGTGAGCCATCATGCACAAATCCCCTGTTTTTTAATATAATCATCATACCCACATGATGGCGCCACAGTCTTGAGTTTTCTGTTGATTCCATGAGTCAGTTGTATCACTTGGTGACAGTGGCCAGTCAAGAGAGCCACACTGTGAAACAGTAAATCTCAGCCCCAATCATAGCTGGGTGTGGTGGCGGATGACTGAATGGTGAGTAATTGTCGTTTGCAACACACACACACACACACACACACACACACACTGTGACATTATTTGACAGTTGAGATACTTTTGGTGATACTGAGATAAGATAATTATCACTAGTGAACATGTTACCAAGAAGATGTTATCACTAAACATAATCTCTGAATATACGTGATGAGTTTTTAAAATGCAATACTAAAATCCTAGCAAGTTTTTAATGTCTTTATCTAGATACTACTTCAAATCTCATAATACCTGTGTAAGAAGTATTCAGATCATTTACTTTAGTAAAATCAGTAATATCACAATGTACAAATACTTGTTACAAATAAAAATCCTGCATTTAAAATTTTACTAAAGTGATGTAAAGAAATATTGTCATCAAGTAACAAAAAGTACTGATTATGCAGAATGGCTCTTTTTTATAATGTACTGCATTTTTGTTATTGATGTATTATCATGTATTGGGCAGGTGGATGTTTGCACATGCGTTTCAATATAAAGCTAATTAACTTCAAATATGGAAAGGTAACAAGTAACTGTATCTAGTCTTGAAGTACTCAAAACTTTAAAATTGTACTTAATAATTGTGGATAATATACACAATATATTCCTGTGAACGTATTTGATACAGGAGACAGGACATGTCACCGCAAGTTGATAATCAGGTCTCAGGGAGAGGACATTTCAGATGTAACCCTTCATTCAAGGTTCACTGAATTTACTGAACTGTATTTGCTCACAGTGACGTGGAAAACACTCCCTGTTCTTACCACAACTCTGTGTGAGCCGCTGTGACTCGGAGCTGTAACCGGCTGTGGCATGAACACCCATACCTGAAAGTAGGTGAGTAAGAGTTGTCCCGATGACACAGAGCCAGGTTGAACCAGTCTGTGTCTGCAACAATGTGCCGGTTGTTGTTCGTTAATGTTATATCTTATGTAGCATATCCAACACAGAGAAAGAAGAGTGGTGTAGAAAACACACAGAGAAGACTTTGCTTGAAAGAAGGTGACAGGATTGTGACTCAGTCACTTGGAAAATTGCTCATATTTCTTCCTCTGAAAACTGTTTTGAAACATAAAATGGCCACCTTAATACAAAGGAACAAAAGGTGGGAATGAATAAGGTCATCCATATTGTTGCATTTTATTCTGGTCGAAAATCAAAGATTATTTCATGCTTTTATCTGAAGCTACAACATTTTATTCCTTATGATCGTTAACTGAAGCCACTTTATACAAACCTTTATCTTCACCTCTGCAGAGCTGGATAAAGAGATTTAGAACGATTATAAGGATGCAGCACATCCGAGGTGAAGCTGAACACCTGGCAGACGTAGAGGAGTTATGAGAGCACACATTTCCTCTTTGGTCATAAGCAAGTATGGCATTCACAGTTTGATTTAGGACGTGACAAACGTGTCAGTCATTGCCACAGACAACGCTGAGTCAATAGCTAGAAAGAGAAAAGACCGTCAGCAAAGACTACCTTTGGGATGAATCACTCATTATTCCTTGCTTGATTTAGAAAGTTGACACTGAGAATTCAAACTATATTCTGAATTGAAATCTTTCCATAGTGAAATTGACATCAGCTGTCAGTGGTTGTCAGCTTTGTGGTGACGGAAGACATCAAGTTACAGGCCAGCGTTGATTAGACAATTACCACCTTTCTGAGTATGAAGTGAAAATTTATGCCTGAAATGTAGGTGATAATTAATGGACAATGTCCGGATTTTGTCTCTACCAGGTGTCAGCTTTTCTTCTTCCTGCAGAAAGGTTTTATCGGGTCCTTCCAGCGAACACTCATGGAAAAAGTACCTTCCCCCGAAACTGATCAGATTCCAAAGATTTGTTGCTGGTTCTCTGGAAACTGATCAGATTCCAGAGATTTGTTGCTGGTTCTCTGGAAACTGATCAGATTCCAGAGAACCAGGAACAAATCTTTGGAATCTGATCAGTTTCGGGGGAAGGTACTTTTTCCATGTGTGTTCGCTGGAAGGACCAGATTCCCAAGATTTGTTCCTGGTTCTCTGGAAACTGATCAGATTACAGAGAACCTGTTGTTCCAAGGAACGGTGGGAAGAGCATTGGATCTATTTCCATGATTGTGACTGAGAAATGATGTGGTCAGAGTTGGCTGCAAACATAATTACTGAGTAAGTCATTAATATATATTATAAAAAACAGAACTAGATGCTCTCATCATAGACGTGTTGTATTTTTGGTCCGACGTTTGGTTGCCATTTTGAACATTATGGACCGTTTATAGCTTTCTGCTAAAGATGTCATGCAAAGTTTGTAAGAAATGTAAAGACCACCAAATTAATTTGTGATTTTAGTGGGAATTAAATTAATTTACAAAGGAAGATACTCATAATAATACCATGTTTACACTTTTTCCTTCAACATTCTACGTATTTGATTAACTCTAAAATGAGTAGTTGTATGCACATAATACAAATGTTATAATTGCAATTTTTAATAGAATTTGAACTTCTTTTGTTTTTTATAATAATTATTCATTTTATTTATGAATTATTTTTCTTTAGTTTTGCTTTGTTTGGATGTCACTATATATCTTTAATTTGGCCAGATGTTCTCCAGGAAATTAATAAAATACTTGGAATAACTTGCCTGTATCCTCAATTCTTCAGAGGTCCGGTTGCTTAACATTAGTATATACAGTAGGTACCACCTTATGCAAATTTCCCCACGAGCACGTGCAAAAACTGTTCAGTACACGTGTACGCGCATTGGTGGTACCTATATACTACTAACATTCTCTTTGTTCTCCGATAGACAATGGTCTCTTCTACAATGGATATCATTTGATCACAATGGGCCAAATCTGTTCTGCTCTTCATGCACACGGAGACTTTGGGCTTCATTTCACTCCTACGAAATCAGGGACACTTTTCTTCCTCTACATGAGAGACGAAGCAGTGCAGAATCCAAGACAAGGAATTAGTGGACTTCTGAGGGAATGAGAGGATGGAGCAATTACCAATAGATTATTAAAAGTAAGCGAGTGGTTTTCCTGGTCGGGGAATAAATAAATAAAAAGCATGAAGACATTCTCTTAATAAAACAGTAATTTATTTTTGACTGAAAACTAAAATTGTCTGAACAGCACATTACAAGGGCATTGTTAAGATATTTTCTCCAAGGCTCAGTGATCACTTTCATACAGTACACTTGGCATGTACACGGCATCTCCTTCAAATGAAAGAACAGAAAAGAATACTCTAAAGAAAGAAGAAGAAAGAAGCCTGTTTGCAAAAAGAAAAAGAAAATCAAAGAGTCAAAGATGACTGATTGTACAGTTACCAATCATTTTGGTTTGGTTCCAAGCCACAGAGAAAGAAACCGAATCGACCCGACGACAGCAGGCGACGGCACAGGAGGCACAAAAGACGCGACACGTACAGGACATCCCATAATATGCTCACACACACACACAGACACACAATTGACTGGGTTCCAGCTTTTTAAAGTGTGAAATGTTTAATAGTTTCCATTGTCTTATTTTTCGGCGTATATTATTTTTTTGTAAGCAAAGTGTTGGTACACTACAATCGAAATCTAAATGCTGCATTCAGTAAATACATTAAAATCTGCAACGGAGCAAAACCTTTTTCTCTGCATATGAAAGTCGACACAGCATTGACGCGAAAACAAAAAAAGACTGCTCCTTCTCCGACTTATATTTTGTGCACGACACAAACACCTCGCCATTCTGATTTTGTATTCTCACCCTCGACTACTCCCCCCTCTGCCCGTTGTTCCCGTTCTCTTTCACAATCATTCACAGACGGACAACTCAACACAAAATAAGAGTGCTGGATAAAAATATGAGGTAAGAAAGTGGTTTGATTATAGATCATGCAGAACATGCAAAACAGCAACAAAAAAAACAAACACAGGGAAGGAGAAAGTAGGAAAAAAAATAGTTGTGTGCATTGAAATGAAAAAAAAAAAAAAAAAAAAAAAGACTTACACAGCTTTGCGTCTTTGGTTATAAAGTAGGTCGAACCATTTTCACAGCTTTTCATCACCCAGACTAAACCCCTTAATTCATTTCTGTATTTTGTTTTGACTAAGAAATTCTAGAAAAAAAAAAAGTAAATTAATAGATTTCTTTATGGAAACATCCCATCACATCTTAACAACAGGTGCTCCTCCTGTACAAACCCTCCTTTCTCTCGATACTTTACAAAATATACATTCAACCTGGATTTCACCTAATGTACGCTCGGCTTTAGTGTTAGCACTATTTCATGAGGAGAACATTTTCGGTTATGGAACTTATTGCCTACTTTATTGAGATCTAGTTGCTGCGATGAGACAACCAAATGTAATACCTGACAGTTTCTAAAATACCAAAAAGACCAAAGAGAAAAGGCTTTTTTTTAATCTTTTTTTTGTTAATAAGTATATCCATGACATTGTTCATTTACATTATGAAAATAGCAGCCCTGAAATAAATAAATGCAAATACTAAAACTGAACTAAAGAAAAAAAGTATTATGATTCATGTCAAAGTACGGTGGCTCTGAGAAAACAACACAAGCTTTTTGTTGCAGCATATAACAAAGCCGAGGCACCCGCCGGCTTCCTGCTCCTCTCTCGGGGGGGTGGGGGGGGCTCCCTAGCCTCTTCCAGCCCTGGAGCGATGTGGGGGTCAGGGATACTGGGAGGAGGGACCCTACCGGATGTCAGGGTTGCATCACCCCTCTTCCACCACTTGTTGCCCCAACAAATCGAGCTCCACCGAGCCCGTCGACCTCGTCCTCCTGCACAAGAACAACATGCAGTTTTTCTCGGTGTGCACCGGCTCCCCTGCCGACCGCTGGGACAGAATAAGACTTTTCGAGGGGTGGTAAATGTCTTAATTATGTGAAGCCCGGCGACGAGCGCGCATCAAAAGCATGGCTCTTGGTAGCAAACGAAGATGCTGTGGCTTTCCTCAAATGGAGCATATTGAACGCAGAGTCGAACCTTTTTGCTTTATGAAGCTACGGGGACGGTAGCAGTTGTTGTCTTTACTAACGGGATCTTCCACTCCTGTCCATGGGAGGTGTGTGTTTGAGCGTGTGTATTTCGGGGGGGGGGAGGGGAAACGAGGATCATGCCGAGGTGATGTTGGGCTGATGGGGGACGCTCTGACTCCCCTCGTGGTGAGCCACGGGGCCGTTGTTGTTGTCGTTTGCGACGTGTTGCTGCGGAGGCGTGCTGCTGCCCTGGTTGAGCTGACTGGACACCTGGCCCAGCTGATCCGTGTTGGCCAGCGACTTCAGCACGGCGTTCTCGCGCTCCAACATATAGTTCCTCTCGTACAGCTCCTTGATCTGCTCCTTCAACACCTCCACCTCCTCGCGAACAGCATACATCAGGTGGCTCTTCACCAAGTCCTGAAACAGAAGAAAAGGGGGAACTAAAATTAGAAGACAAATTACAGCAGATTCCATCCTCAAACAAAAAAGAACACATGACATCTCTGAATTTAAAGTGGGCTCTTTTTTTTTTAGCAACATCTTTAGCGCTGACGCCTCATTGCCATGGGGGGGGGGGGTTGCAACTGCATTTTCAAGAGATCACCTGTCAATCAAACTGTGTAGGCTACACCATTTATATCTATTTAAAGATGTTCAGTAGCTTTCATGAACTGAACAGAAACGGAGTCACCTTATCGCATTTTCTTGTAACTTTAACATCTCCGGGAAAAACTCACCATTGCTTGCTCGATCTTGTTATCGATAGCGACGACGCTGGCACCGGATGCACTGTGGAGACAAAAGAAGAAGAAAGAGTTACCACAACATGCCAATCTCACGTCTACCACACACTTCAGATTGATATCCATGTTCCATGACAAAGATGACCTCAGAGGATTTCACTGGTGCACAAGAAGTAAACAAAACACATTCTGATTAGTAGATTAACGGTCAAAAATTCAAAAACTCCATCATATTTTAGTGCTCTTGACTTGGAGACACTTTTGTGACGAAACTTAACCAGCTGTAAATCTCCATTAAGACAAGCAGATGTGACATGGCGTCTTTCACCAGTAAAACCAGGTGTTCAGGTAATACTATGACGCCTGCGTTGGGTGTGACTCACATTCTGATCAAACACAGGTGGACACAGAATGAAATAAGTGGCACAGCAGTTCTCCAACGGGATCTTTAAACATTTAAAAAAGGAAGTAAAATGCACAAAAAGAAGCGCTGCTTCACCAACACATCTCCACTCAAATCCGTCCGTGCAGAAACAGCAGCAGGGATCTTGATAATAAAAATACTTCGCCGTGGTGATATCAGCTTGCATCTACGCATGACTCCACCACGGTGAAAACAGATCGGTCTCCTGCACGAGTTACGTTCCGGGTGTGGCTGATGTCGCCATCAGCGATCAGTTTTCATTTGTCATTGTAAACCTCATTGTTCTCCGCTCTCTGTTAAAACAACATGTTGTCCGTGTGCTGGAGACGCGTGAAGCCTCCACGCCGCGTCTGTGTGCGTCCCGCGTTGTAAACACGTTTCCAAATCCCTTCAGAAGCAGCGCAACATTTGGGTTTCTGCCCCTCCCCCCTCCTCTAAAGGAAAGAAAGGACAGAAAACACGTCTCCCGCTTCACACATGAAACACGAACAACTTACTGAACCAAGCCAAAGACCCACGTACATTAAAGATGCCCACGGTTAAAGAGTGCTCGCCCTCTTTACGGATCTTTATCCGTCAACGTTGTCCTTGCACAATCGCCGCCCTGCTCGGATGTGGATGCAAAAAACAAAACAAAAAGGACCGAAGCGTCCTCGAGCCGCTAGACGGAGCTCTGACCACGAGTCCGGGATGTGAGGGAGCTTCATGTACACATTAGGATGTTTGGAAGAAGTTTACTGCGGAAACACTTAACCCGGGTTACACTAATCTAATGTGGAGAAAACATGTTTCCTGGAGCGAGCCATCCTAAATCCACACACGTTAGAGTAATGGAGGGTTAAAGCAAGGTACGCTAAATATCAACTGTGCTTTTTATATTAAATAATTCATATTTTTTTTCCATGTTTCGAAAGACTCAATACACGTTTTGAGTCTTTCGAAACATGGAAACAAATATCCCGTGTGCGTAAATTTGATGGAGAATACAGGGAACGTCTTCAATAGTATGAACCAACCTCACTGAGGACATATGCATTTAAAATATTACAATATAAAAAAAGATGAGCATTGAGATTCACTACATGGTGACCAACATGACGAGGGAGCCCCAGCGCGTGAGGGTCAGCACGTAGCAGGCTACAGACAGCTGAGAGACAAAAACACGTCAGATATGCAGGACACAGCGCGAGAGCAAACATGCGGATTGGATTTCAATCACGTCCACTGTGACACGAAAGACTTATCTGGACATGGCCGAGTTAAATGCCTTCAGTCCAAAGGCGTGTGTGTGTAAGTCTGGTTTCAGATTCAATAGGTACCACAATGCACACGACCGAAAACTTGTGGATCCAACAGGACACGCGAGCAACAATAATGTGCAGAGCATACACCCACATATTGCACCAAGCACATATGAAAGTCAACTAATCAGACAGTAAAGCACACATGGCAGAGACTGTATATAAAGTGCATTACCTGGCCCAACGTGCTCGGTAAGACATCAGACGTCCCGGTGGTGACGTTACCGGTGAGCAGGGCAGACTGTAGTTCATTTTGCAGCGCATTTTTTTCTGATTCTCCTTAAAAGTTTCTTCCGTAAGCTCCTTTCTTTTTTTTTTTACTTCACTGAGTGTCAACACGCGAGTGTTGCACGGGAGCAGAGTGTATGTTAAATCCACGGCTCGGTCATATGGTGCGAAAACTAAAAGGGGGCGTAGTTCAGCCTGTCCATACACGCGCGTGCTCTCTCTCTCTCTCTCTACTGACTCATTCTGGATTCTTTGACAGATGACATTATTCACTTCGACTTGTTGAATAAGGCTGAGGACACCTTATTCAACATAAATCTTCTTTTTTTTTTTTTTTTTTTTAAAGAAAAGTCGATTGAGATGGTTCATGTTTTCATAAGCTGTATATGATAGAAGCTCAAATTCAAATTTGACTAATGCAAGTTTCTATAGGTCACATTGATATTAAACTAAACACTACAGTAGATCATGCCGGATCCACTGGATTCGCGAGCTTTGCATTGTAGTTGAATTTGTAATGCAGAGCAGCAAGGCAAATCAGACTTCCAAATGTCCACCATTTAAATCCTCGTTGAATCTAGCTTGTCGAGTGAATGGAAGATCTAGCCTAAAAGGCGCAACAAGAACTGTTAAAGAGACAAAAAAATAAACTAATTTGTTGCCATTCAGCGTCCAAGGAAAACAAAGCAGAATGGACATTTTATTCAAGGAAGACATGTGGTGCTTTATATAAGGACCGCTTGCCGTGTTCACCTCAACATGGGCCTTCCTCGCAGACTGCAGCGGAGCAGTCCCCCCCCAAACAAAGTCTCCAGGACCACAAGGCAGCACATTCCAACTTTGGACACCTCCGGCCTCGAGGCCATCTGTGTCAGAGCCACCATTACGCTGTTACAACACACAGTCAAGCTCTTCACTGAGGAGCAGTTATCCAAACGGTCCAGTTTCTGGATCGATGTGGACTAAAGTGAGCTTTTTTTCCCCCATCACCGGCTTATCCCCCGTACCTGCTCACACATCGGAAGCAGCAGGAAGGTGTGAACTTTATCCCTTCAATGTAAATATTACTTTATGTCATCTATCTATCAAATGTAATGTGTTCTCCATTAAAGCACAGATGCAGCGGCACACGTCGCTGTCACAAAGCATACCAACACTCTCTGTGGGTCGGCAGCTGAACAAATTAGACCTCAGCCTAATGTGATAAACCCCTCCCCCCTTGGTAAGTGTATTTCAAAACAATAGCTGGAGGGTGAGGGCTGTAACAACAGAGGGGTCCCCTCACTGTCGTTCTCTTTCCGATGCTTTCTTTTTTTGGGGGGGGAAGATGCAGTTCAGTTGCTTCGCCAGACGAGGTCGGCAGAGGCTCCAGTTAGTTGCGACACAAAACTTCAGTGAAAACGAACAGAGCGGCTTCAGGCAAGAGCGGTTTAGTCATGACTTTCCAAAATGATCACAACGGATTCATTGCTGTGGCATAAATCAACTAGAAGCTGCTCTCGTTATTTCTGTAATGAGACAAACTCGTCGTCGCCCTGACCCTTGTGCACGAGTAGTAACTTTCGGTAATCTCACTCAGCGGTGTCGGACAAATGCTATAAATGAACATGGTTCAGAGAACTGAAAGTGGCTCCTCTTACTGAAAAGGTCATAACAACTGTCGGATCTTGAACCCTCTCAAATACTGATCACCCTCTCTGATGACAAAGGGATCAGGATGTTTTGCAGGAGGGTTTTCTCTTCAGGTGAGAGACCATCACATTCACCTATCAGACAAATTAGATCACAGCAGCACACACATCAAGTTCATCTCATCTCAACACGTTTCTAAAAAGTCTAAGAAGTCCTTCAAGTGCTCAGGGGAAAAAAAGACAGATCAAGTGGATAAGATCAATCTTTCTCTTGTGCAGTGGGTGTGAGTAAAATTCAAATTTGCATTGCGAAAGGTGAGAAACTAGGAAATCCTAAAAGGACATCAACATGCTTGTCATGATCCAATTTAATGACCTGAAACCTGAGTACGACAAGAAAGCAATACAGGAGGGATATTATATATTGGGTGAAGCACACTTGAAATGCCCCGTGATGTCTGAAATTTGCATATTGCACTGAAATAGTCACAAAAGACCTTGAAGCAACAGTGACGATTGGAGGTTCGGGAAAGTATGTACAGTATATATGCGCCTGTGCACATTTTCTCAGATGGCGCATTGTTGGGACTTGTCTTGAACGGTGAGTTCATACTGTAGATTCAAACAGCGCGAACTGTAGACTGACTAATACTGACTAATCAATGAGTCGACTCAACATTTCTTAAGCTTCAGATTGAAAAAACTACATGTTTTAGATAACACAGGAGTCTAAGTGCTACAGTACATTTTCATGAAGATCATGTGACACAATCAAAAGCCCCAAACGGCTCTAAAATAAACCTTGTGAATGAGACTGCTTTGTCAATTTTTCACACTGTTAATAGTATTATTTCGTCATACCATGAATATTTTTTTTTAAATCTTTAAAACTAGACACAAGATCACACATCGTACATTGTTTGCAGTGTAAAATGTCTGAGATTGTATCTTTCACGTGTACATTAGTGGTGAGTAACGCTATCGTTAAACCTGAAAGCCAACGTGCTTGTCAGGACGCAAATGAACGACCCCCGAGTACAACAAGCAAGAAACAAGTTACGCCAAACGCGACACTTTAAGTGCTGGAAATTCTCCATGAAGATGGAAACTTGTACATTGCACTGAAATAGTCACAAACCAACGAATCCTGAGTCTAACCACTTCTGTCCTTGTTGCACTGGAATGCTTCAAACAATGATGACAATTGCAGGATGTTCACAGTAAGGTAGTATGTGCCTCTGAACATGTTTCAGATGCTGGATTGTTGGGATGTGTCGTCTACATGAAGGGTGATCCAGACTGACACAATGGAGACTGAACTAAATAAGACAGACCTACACAGAGCCCTTGTCTGGAGAGTTTCTTGTCTGGTTTATTTGTCCAGCATTAACTCAAAGAGTCATGAGTAGGTGTGTCCGCTGCCAACAAGCTTCCTTGTAAACACGCCGCAGGAACTGTCCCA